AAATATACATATATATATAATATAATATATATATAATACATATATAATATTATATATATATATATATATACTATATATTAAATTATATATATTATATATATATATTTATATATATATATATATTATATATATATATATATATATATATATATTATTATATATATTATATATATATATATTACATATACATACATTGGTATTGGCAAATGTATATATATATATATATTATAATATATATACATAATATATATATATATATATTAATATATTATATATATATATATATACATATACATACTTGGTTTGGACCCCAGCTTTTCCCAGCAAAAAGAGGGAAGTGGTAACTTAATTACATATCAAGGATGTGTGTTACCTAACATCTTATTCAATGTTAATATCAATACCATGGTTACTTTAGATATTAATAACAACAATAATATGGTTATATCAAAGCAGATATTCTGTTTCAGTCAAATGAATAAGTGCTAAATAAATGACATAGAATAAAGGATAATAACTTTATTTTCCTAAAAAGGGAATAACTCAAAAGTAGCCAATAAATCCTATATCTGAATGACCTTGGGCATGTTATTGTCAAGTAATTCTGTCTTATCTAATCTCCGTTCATTGACTGACCTTTGCCAATTTCTCATTTTTTGTAATTGTCCCACAATTACAGATCTGAATTCTGAAATGTACCCACTAACACAACAACTAGGATTACAGGTCCTAAGCTTGTGGTACTTCCAGCAGCAAAGGTTAAAGAAGGAAAAAAAAAAAGTACAGACAGACCATTACAACTGCTAGATTGCACTGGTATGAATATTTTTGTGTTTTTCCTTGTCTTGCCATTACTTTTAAGTAGTGTTACTGCCACTATTTCAACCAGTACCTCTGTCCAAATTCCTTTGACAACTAGTGTGATGTCGGATGGAAAGCCTACAAACTTAATAACAAATTGACAACCAATTAGCACAAAGTTTGTGTCAGACAGACAAACAGCTAACCATTCACAATAAACATAGATCGAGGACAATTTTAACGTCTGGAAATTGTAACAAAATCAAATATTTTCGATTTTTTGCCCTCACAATCGTCTACATTGCACATAAATAAGCCCCATATCATATGATTTGTGATCCAGCTAAGCTATTTTTAACTGGTCCCTCTTGCAAGGAAAGGCTGGTGCTCGCACTGAAACTAAGCGTTTGCAAGGGATGTGAACAGCTGATGCATTCTAATTACATAAAAATACATCTAAAACCATTGTCCTTCCTAAAAGAGTCATTGATATCATACAGAACACAAATTCTTACTTGTTTGGAGTATACAAATAGTGTTTAGTATCACTACAGAATCTGAAGCGATTTATATGAAATGTGTGTGTGTGTGTGTGTGTGTGTGTGTGTGGTGTGTGTGTGTGTGTGTGTGTGTGTGTGTGTGTGTGTGTGTGTGTGTGTGTGTGTGTGTGGTGTGTGTGTGTGTGTGTGTGTGTGTGTGTGTGTGTGTGTGTGTGTGTGTGTGTGTGTGTGTGTGTGTGGTGTGTGTGTGTGTGTGTTTTGTGTTTGTGTTTGTGTTTGTGTGTTTGTGTGTTGTGTTGTGTGTTTGTGTTTGTGTTTGTGTTTGTGTGTTTTGTGTTGTGTGTGTGTGTTCTGTGTGCGTGAGTGTGAGCATGTGTGCGTATGTGTGTATTACTTAACAATCTTATAGTCTCTTCTCTATACTTGAAATGTACACTTAGCTAACAGGCAATTTAATTATCCATTTTACCAAAAAATATTATTGAACAAAAAATATACATAATACATGTTTTTATATTAACATTTATATATTTTATTACCCATTTTATAATCATATATACATTACCTAACCATGACAAGTTTCTAAATTTTATAAAAAAAAAAAAAAAAAATACCAATAAAATAAATGGTCACTTATCAATTTCCTCGACGTCTTACATCATAAAAAATATAATTAGATTAATTAATAGAAAGAAAAATAGGTATAGTAATAAGCCCCGAACTCCCGTTACATATCTCGGTCAAAGCGGAAAAATCAAAACAAAACAAGAAAACAGCGTCTATTTCCATCTTCTCTGTATCTCAACAGCATGAAACTCTCAGAACATCTAGACTGATACTTCATACGCGTTATTAGTGGAAATCTACAGTAATTTACCGATCTGTGTGGACGCGAGAGGTCGAGAAAGTCGAGAAAAGTTGGAGATCAGCTGATTGAGGGCGGCCATCTTGGGGGACACTGGAGAGGGGGGTCGGCATGATAATCAGGAAAAGTTTTTTTTCATCCTTAATTGTATAATATCCTAATCTTTATGGCGCTATTTATTCATATTATATTTAGAGAGCAACGAAGAATATTTGCTTACTTAAAACGGGCTGTGCTAGGAGAGAGAGGGCTGGCACTTTATTCAGGAAAAATTGTCCTTGACAATATAATACAGTGCATTCATAGGATGATTACATCTTTTCATTATGTTTCCTTATCTACTTATATTGATATCATGAAACAGTAGATGTATGTTTTACAATAAAGACAAAGATGATTTGCGAAATAAAAACCGATATGAAATATATACGAAATGGATACCAGCTTAGATAAGGTTGAAATAAAGACATTGCCCTGAAATAATACAATAAAAAATGTTCGCGTAACTTTCACCTAACCGGTTTGAATGCGGTTCGACCATCCATTCTTTTAGGATAAATAAAGGTGCAGTTCAACACATACACTCATGTAAGGTCATTGCAAGTTTATTTATATATACCTTGCATGCACAAGCACACATATGAAATGTTTACGTGTGTGTGTGTGTGTGTGTGTGTGTGTGTGTGTGTGTGTGTGTGTGTGTGTGTGTGTGTGGTGTGTGTGTGTGTGTGTGTGTGTGTGTGTGTGTGAGCGAGTGAGTGTGTTCTTATCTAGTGTTTCATTTCGAGAGAGCCAAGCTTAGACGCTCCCGTCTGCTATATTTAAATTATCGCATATTTTTGGATACGCATTTTTAGTACACAGACTACGTTATTTGTACCAATAGCATAGGCGTAGGGAGGTATTTTGAAGTGGAGGGCAATGCAGGTTCCCTCCAAAATAGCCGGGGGTCCTGAGGGCTGCAGGCCCCTGGCGGAGTCTAGGGGCAATAGCCCAGCTGGGGCCAGGGGGCGAATACCCCGGAAGCTCCTGAATATCAACAGGTTGAAAGATATAACTTCATTAATATCTGCGGTAAATGTATGCCATCTTTATTTAGATATTTGACATAATAGTTATAAAATTTTGAACACCAGACTCGGCCATGGCAGCCCTCTCAGCTGCAGGGCCAGGTGGTCAGTGTTCTCACAACGGAGTAACTAAGGAATTGCGCTGTTTGTTAAGTTGGGTGGGGGGGGGTAGAAGTTGGGTCCCGCCCCCTCCATTCAAGAGTTTGTCCGGTCACACCCCTCCACCCCCCCCCCCCTCACTGCCTCCCGTTTTTACGCCTATGAATAGTACTTCTTGGGAAAGTGGACTTTTTGACATCTTTACCGTCTCTTTTTATTTTTTCAACATTTGACAGTGTCCTCTCGTCCTTCCTGTGCTCAAAATTATAAAATCATCTTTGTCTTCACTCTTCCTGTAATATAGTTGAACAGCATAATCATGTCCCCCCTTTTCCTTCTTTCTTCCAAAGTAGTAAGTCCTATTTTCTTTAGTCTATCTTCGAAGCTCGTATCTCTTCGAGTAGGTGCCTATCTGTGGCTGCTCTTTGAAATCTCTCCAGTTTGTTTACATCCTTTTTTTAAGGTGTTGACTCCATAGCATTTCTCCGTGTGTGTGTGTGTGTGGTGTGTGTGTGAGAGAGAGAGAGAGAGAGAGAGAGAGAGAGAGAGAGAGAGAAGAGAGAGAGAGAGAGAGAGAGAGAGAAGAGAGAGAGAGAGAGAGAGAGAGAGAGAGAGAGAGTGTGTGTGTGTGTGTGTGTGTGTGTGTGTGTGTGTGTGTGTGTGTGTGTGTGTGTGTGTGTGTGTGTGTGTGTGTGTGTTTATGCGTGAGTGCGTGTGTGTGTGTGTGTGTGTGTGTGTTGTATGTACATCGATATAAACAAGTGCAATAAGCACACGCAGAAAACTACAACTCTCCATAATTTTTTTTTTTTTCTTTTCAAGAAATTTTAGGAGAGACAACATTAGAAGGGAAACGAATCACTGGTGGAAGGAAAAGGGGAACCTAAATTAAAGGAAAAGGTCATTAGTAGAAGGAAAAGGGTGTCAAAGGAACGGAAAAGAATTCTAATGGAAGGGAAAAGCATCAATTTTCGGAGAAGGAGACACTGAATGAATGAGAAGGGGCACCACTGAAAGAGGAATGAGCACATTTGGAAACGAAAAGGGGCAAAGGTAAAAGACACGCTAAAAGAGAAGAAATAAGCGATACCAATAAGGGACAGCTAATACCAACAAGAGACAGCAAAGGAAGAGAAAAGGGCAATGTTAGATATGGAACACTCTCCTTAACAAAAATATGTAAAATGATTCTTCTAAACTATTTTCTGCATGAGATATATACACTAACCAGTAAAGAGTCACACTCGAATTTTCTGTGAAGCGCATAGATCAGCCATTTCAAACTTGCGAGCTATATAGATATATATAAACACTTGATAGTAATAATGCTTTTAGAAAAATGAAACTTAGATAGTTTATAGCGTTTATGATGACAGGAAGTAATGAGAAAGATGCGTTAGAGAAAACTTAGATAAAGATATGAAATAAACAATATATTTCAATTTTTGATTATTTTAGCGGGAAGGAAAATTGTGCCAAATTTCAAAGAGCTGGAATACAGATCACTGAATGTCAAAATGTATATATTTGAATCCATTACAGTAACAAACAACTGAACTATATAAAATCTTATCCTTAAAGTAATAGAGGAAAAAAAGTCCTATCGACAATGAAAACAAAATTAAACCTTATTTACTATATAGATTTGGCACCAGCGCGGCCGTGCTAAGGAGATCGTGGTGCAAGACGAGGCTGATGTGTGCCTCGCCTGTTCCCTTTTATCTCATTTTCTCCCAATTCCCGTAATTCGTTTGTTAAAATTCACTACTGGGAGGCAAGATGGATGCTTTTCCTAACAGCCAAGCAAGCACGCAGGTGAGATTGATGATGCTTTTGGTATGAAATAAGACGAGTTTAGAAAGGAAGCAAATTTGTTTTCATTTTTTTTTTTTTTTCGGAAGTATAGATGTATAATGTATTCATAAATTCCATTCTCTTTGGAAGATATAGAAAGATTGCTGTCAATTCTTTTGTTAGTGTTATATAGCTGAAGAATAAATGCATTTTAAGTTTAATTAAATGCAATAGTTGTCATGGAAACTTGATCGGTTTTTAAACTTATTTTTTTATTATTTCTAAGTCCTTACCAGCATCCTCTATATTAATAAGTGTCACCATTTATCCTGTTTTATGTTGTACCTTACTTTCGTTGCTTTTTAAGAGATGTCATCCAACGACAAATTTTCATAGGCCTACCTGATTGAAAAGGGGTATTAGGGAGGCTGAATTCATTGCAGAGTTTACATGCGAGGAATTTGTTAGCGATTGCTGGAGTGTGGAGCACAGGGGCCATGGGGGCGCTTCTTGCAGTTCTATTCATAATGATCCTGGGCTTGCCTTTGCCGGAGAGCCGTTAGGTGCGGAGCTAGAGGCTGTAGCAATTGGTGCGAGAGGACAGATGAATGTGGTTGTTTTCGAAAGCATCCGAATATGGTTGTCTTTGAAGCATCCACTTTTTGTTTATATATTTCTGTATTCAATAATATATTCATAAATTTGTGTTTTTGTCCTTAACCCCACAGAATGTGTATGTGATTGCTGTTGCATCTATTGCACTACTTTTCAAAGGTTTTTGATTCATAGAAAGGTAATTATAGGTAAGAAGATTTTGTGAATATTGAGAAAAAACAAATATAATGCTTGTAAAAGACCTGTGTAATAATGCTTTTATATGATCAGAATTATTACACCAAGTCAAGGTCCCCCCACAATTGTTTACCAAGGATCTAAACATGTAGCGATGCTGCGGCATACTCTCTCCTTACTCTGGCAATAGTCGGCAAACCAAAAGGAGCGCATGAGATAGAGAGAGAAAGAAAGAAAGAAAAAAAGAAAGAAAGAAAGAGAGAGGGTGGGAGGGGCTCCCCCTCTTTGCGTAGTTCAGCGAAGAGACAAAAGTCTCTTGTCAGTCAAAAATTCAGGCAACAGAAATGTAGGCCTATGAAGCACGATTATTACTTATGTCCATACGCTTGATGAAATTGTGTAATGCAATTCAGTTCTTAACACAATTATCTTATGCCAGAATCTTTGCGCTTGTAGGAAGTCTTAACGTAAATTAAGGACTGCAAGTTTCATAAACATAATGTTCTTATCCTCTAGCGTGACTTTGGTATGCCAGGTTATTTTTTGCTTTATTATTCCTTAGTAGAGGATTTTGTGCTTCGAAGATTGGATTCCACAATGTCTTTAAGCATGTGACCTTAATTTTACTTCTGAAACTTCATACATTAATTTTTAAGATTAAGAGTCTTTAGTTTAAACAATTTTGTTTGTAAGTGTAAGCATTGGGATACACCAAGTTCATTATATTTATAGTGGAAAAGATAAGGGGAAAAAAAATTAAAATTAAGGTTTTTAAAATATGCTAAAAACAAGAATTAGGACTTATTAAACTGACATTATTACACAAACTCCCAAATACAGTTTCTCTCTCTTTCCCCCCCAGGGCTGGCGCGAGACGCAGGAGGTGGCAAGCCAGTCAGAATATGAATTGGCTGATATAGAGAATGTCTGGGGCCGACTACTCTCTGTCAGAGAAAATGTCTCAGTTTATAGTAAGTTCTTTTTTTTCCAGACTAGCTTTTTCCTAATGATTATTAATAAAAGTAGGAGTAATAGTTGTAATAACACTGAATTGTTTGTTTTAAATGTTAATTCGAAGCTTCAGCATCTCTGTCTGCCATCTTTTTGTTCTCCTTCCCCTACCCCTCACCTCCTCCATCTCCAGTTCCTCCTTATTCTCTTTTTCCTCTACCCCCAAGTCTTCCTCTTACTTTCTCTTCCTCCTCCCCCTTTCCTTCACCTCTGCCTCCACCTGCTCCTTCTCATTATTACTGTTGTCATCATCAACCTCATCAGTTAGTAATCATCATTAAGATTAGTATTTTCACGAATATCATTGTTATTTTTATCATCATCATCATCATCAGTATCAATTGTGTCTTTTTAATTTTATTTTTCTCTTCCACCAGACTTAAGCAAAAACTCTTACACTTTTGGTAGAGGAGACGCCGACCACCAATTCACAAGGGACCATTTTGACAATTCACTTTTGCCGGCCATTTCAAAAATACACTTTCGGTGAGTGGCTGTATAAGAGGTTGGTATTATCTGGTGTTGTGATTGTTATTTTGTGATTTATGTTGTCTGGTTGTATTTTTTATTTCATGATTATGGTTATATCCTCCTCCTCCTCCTCCTCCTCTCCTCCCTTCCTTTTCCCTCTCCTCCTTATTCTCCTCTTCTCCTCCTCCCTCCTCCTCCTCCTCCTTTATTCTCCTCTCCTCCTTATTCTCCTCTTCCTCCTCCTCCTTATTCTCCTCTTCCTCCTCTCCTTATCCTCCTTATTCTCCTCTTCCTCCTCCTCCTTATTTCCTCTTCCTCCTCTCTCCTCCTCCTCCTCCTTATTCTCTCTTCCTCCTCCTCCTCCTATTCCTCCTCTATCTTCTATTCCTCCTCCTCCTATCCTCCTTATTCTCCTCTTCCTCCTCCTCCTCCTTCTCTTCCTCTACTCCTCCTTATTCTCCTCCTCCTTCTCTTTATCCTTCCCTTCATCTTACATATGTAAGATATATGAACCCCTTAAGTTTTATTTGCCATGAATGATATCAATGTTAATAAATCTGTCACTCTCTGCCAACTTCCCTCCATCCTTACCCACTCTACTGTTCCCATACCCCCATACCCACTGTAGGACCTCGTCTTTTACTGTCAGTCTTGTCGTCACGTTTCTTGTCTTGTTTTTCTTGTGAATGAAATGTAGGTTGTTTAGAGTAGTCAGTGTTAATTATGGCGAACCCCAATCCCTCCCTCTCTGTGTTTCCCTTCTGTCAAGTGTACTATAATGCATCATACAGTCACATGATGTGTATTGTCTTTTTACTATTTTTACATATAGATACACATATCACTGTTATAGATATATATTTCTGTTGTCTTGCATGTCTCTGTGGTGCAAGAAGCAAAATTTCTTGAAATATCAAAGACCAATATATGCATGGCATTATTTGTAGTTGAAAGATATGCTGGAGGATTTGTATAGAATGGATATATATTTACAAAATATTGAATATATGGTAATGGTTATTATAACGACAGATAATTGATGGCCACTAGGAATGATAAATTGGTGTGGTCAGTTTGGAAATAGTTTCATCTGAACCCATTGCCGACGGGTAAAAATTTTGGCAAGTTGACGTATGCACGGGCTTGTTGGCGTGCATGGCAGTTTCCCCTGTTTGCGCCAGGTTTGATCGGTAGTTTGCGAGGGACATTTAGCACCTAAAAGCTTTTATTTTGCTAAAATTTATAAAAATATTAAAATTTTGAAGGTTTACTTTCACTTTAGGTGCCATTGCCTAAAATCTTTACCATATAAATGAAGCCGCTACTACCGGAGAAAAACAACCTCCGTCCAACGAGCCAGTAGCGCGGGAATGGGCATGACATGATGCCCCCGGCGTTTGGTCCACAACAGCCATGGCATGTACGTACGTGCCACCCGGCTGCAATGGGTTAACCTGGCTTAACAAGGGTGGCAAGAATGGTAAATGGCAGATAGCAGATTTTATCATCTTTAGGATGTTGTTGTTATTATTATTATTCATTCTTTCATTAATTCATTCTCCTTGTTCCCTGCCCCCCTTACTTTTACAGAGTGAGTCGAGAGACCAATATCGGCAATGAAGTGGTCCTGCTGGAAGACCTGTCATGCAATGGTACTTTTGTCAACAAGAAGCAGGTCGGGAGAGGGAAGAAGGTCGTTCTGCAGAACAATGATGAGATCTCACTTGCACATGCCAATAAAAAAGGTGCATTTATCTATTTGTCTATTTGTATTTTCATTAATTACATGTGTTTGGAAGGGGGGGTCATAGAGTTGGGAGAGAAGAAGGAGGGGGATGAAAGCTGTCTTGCAGATCAATAGAAAGGTTTCACTAGTGCATGCAAATAGGAAAGGACATATCTCTTAGTTTGTCCTTTCTTCTCTTTCTTTCTTTCTTTTGTTTATTATTGTTTTATATTAGTTGAAGAGATGGAAATGGAGAGTAAGGGGAAGAGACTCAGGTGATGACACTGCCCAGATCTCAGTTGCTCATGGAAGTAAAATGAATATGTTCTTCAGGGGGCTTTTTCTTTCTTGTTCTTCTGACAGAAACTTGCTTACTGTTAATGCGAAAGTCCTTTTCTAAAGAACAGTTATTCTAAGTAGATAGAAGAGGAAGGGATGGAGACCAGACAAGAAATAAAGAAAAGTAATAACCTTGAACTCTTGTTTTATATTTTTTTCTTGTGTGCATGTTGAAAGACATTTTCTTTTCTTTTGTTTTTGTCTTTGTTCTTCAGGAATTGTTTCTCTTGTAAAAGTTCTATTCAGAGGGGAGGGAGGAGAGTTTAATTGATCAGAAATGCTTTGTGCTTTGGGTGTTCTTCTCTTCCTTTTGTTCATAATTGTGAGTATTTTTCTTTGTGGTAGTTTTTTTCATTTTTGTTTTGAGAACTTTACATGAATCATTTATCAGTTACTGAGTCAATGCCAGTGACTATTATCACGAAAAATGGGAAATGGCAAAAGTAGAAAGATAAAAGAATGATGAAGAATGAAAAACAGTATACATCTAAACATGAACATCAATCATGAATAAAATGGAAATGAGCATTTGTATACATGAATATCAATTAGAAAGAAAAAAATGCATCTAGAAACATGAATTTGGATTCTCATCTTCCCAGTATTTGTGTTCTACGACTGCCTGCAAAACGACGACAGCAATTACCCCCCGCAGTTGACGCAATTGTACACTATGTCGAAGAAATTGGGTGAAGGCACCTTCGGGGAAGTCAGATTGGCATACAAGCAGGTAGGGGAAAACAAAAGAAAAAGAATAAAAACATCAATAAAGTTGTAGAAAAAGAGAAAGATAGTGATAATAATATAGATAATAAAGTTGAAAGTGATAATGATAGTGGTGATGATTTTGATAGAAGGAAAAAGTTGATTAGTTGTAGGTAATAGGAATGAATGGTGTTAAATATATTTGAATACAAAATAATGATGATGATGAAATATGTGTTAATATAATGGTAGTAGTAACAATAGTGATAAGGATTAGGATCCATAATAAAATGAATTCTTAGGGAAACATGATTATGTCAATGAATCTTCCAAAAGATGATACTGTCAGTAATAGTGATAATAGTACAAAAGACATTAATAATATCATATAGAGTGCTCATAACAAATAGAATAGAAACAATATTTGATAATCGAATAGCCTTCGTAACCCTGGTGGCTTTCTCTCGCCTCACAGGACACTCTCGAACGCTGTGCTGTCAAAATCCTCAGGAAGAAAGGCAGTCAGATTGTCCTCAATAATATCAACACAATCAACAATGAAATTAAACTTCTGCAATCAGTGGACCACGTGAGTCGCATTTGGTGTGGGAGGACTTGTGGCAGCTGAGGGTCTCTCTCTCGGTCCCTGGCTCTTCTCTTCTCTCTCCTCTTCTCTTCTGTCTCTTTTCTGCTCTCCTCTCTTCTCTTCCTCCTCCTCTTCCTCCTTCTCTTCCTCCTCCTCCTCCTCCTCCTCCTCCTCCTCCTACTCCTACTCCTCCTTTTAATAGATTCCCAATACTATGTGTTCTATATAAAAAAAAAAATGAATAAGAGCCACAAATCCCAGATAATGTAACTTGACATTCCAACTATTTCCTCCTCGGCAGCCATGCATCATCAGGCTTCAGGATGTGATCGATACTCCAGAAAAAATCTACATTGTGATGGAGCTTGCTGAGGGTGGGGAGCTGTTTGACAGGCTGGCCTCCAACCGCAGACTGCCTGAGTCGACTGTCAAATTTTACTTCTATCAGTTGGCACTCGCAGTTCAGTACCTGCACAGGAAGAACATCACACACAGGGATATTAAGGTACCTGAATGTGGATGTCTTATGTCAGCAGGGTTGTTGTTTTCTGTCATTGTTGGTATAATAATCACAGTCATTTTAGAAATTACAGAATTGCAATTGCTGATTATTATTATCATGGTATGAATCTTGTTTTGTTAGTATCATTATTATTGTATTTATGTATTTGTTATTTTGATTATGATGAATATAATGATAATAAAAATAGTAGTAAATACTATTGATACATATGTAATTATTATTGTTATTGTTATACAGCCCTGCTATTATTGATTGAATTGATTACTATTTTGATTTGTGTTATACTAGTGCTTCATAGTCCAGGTGACGCGTTATGATGCTTAACCCCTTCCATTAGAATGATTTGGCATGAGGGCTGCGTAAGTATTTCAGCCGAAGGCCAGGGCATCAGGAAAGACTTGCCATGAGTGCACAAACCTCTTGAAGGGTGACAAGACTCATTTAGCATTTAAAAAGGGACTTTATTTCCATCGACAAACAAGTGTGGAATGTAGCAACTGTGAGCCTTGACTGAAAGAGTGCCGGCTCTAGGGAGGAGGCCATTTCTATGCTCAGCATCCTCTTTGTGGCCAGTGTGACCAGCAGTGGAGGTTGTATTACAGAAGAATGAATGTTGCAATAAAAGCAGTAAAATTACACAAATAACAAAAGTTACTTATTTTTGTTTTTCTTGCAATGAGACATGGACTACCTAGAAGGATGATATGGAGTTTGTGCAAGGAAAACAGTCTTGTACCATTTAGATAAAGCAAGTCAAATGACAAATATGGACATTGGAAAATTGCAAGAAAGCTATAGATTCTTATGCACAAAAAGAGAAAATAACATTGCAAAGGGGAGGGCTAGAGTCTTGTCACGGCACACAAGTAGTTGTGTGCATCCAGCCTACAGGTCACACACCTAGCAGAGTGGGCACTCACTTAATCCTAATGTGTGTATTTTGCTCCATGTGACTGCTGTGAAGTAACCAGATCCAAGGGGTTCAGCAGTTAGTGCTCACATTTCATCAGTCTGAAACTAGAGAATGCCCTCACTGATTAACTTGTGTCTTATCTTTGTATTAAGTCTTTATCCAATTATTTATTGATTTGGATGTTTATTTTTTTCTCTCTTTCACAGCCAGAAAATGTCCTCCTTGGCTCAGATGAGGAATTCACACGCATCAAGCTGACAGACTTTGGCCTGTCCAAGTTTGCAGCAGATGCCAGCCAGATGACC